ACACACACACACAAACACATATATATATATATATATATATATATATATATATATATATATATATATATATATATATATATATATATATATATATCATAAGTTTTATTACTAAAAGGTAAGATAAGATAACCTTTATTGTCATTTTTTTACTGTGGACACAACGGCACACATCAAAAATGAAATTTAGTTGCCCACTCTCAAAGTGAAACACATACTATTGAACACATGAATTCCTGAATAAAATTCATAAAATAGTGCTGTCAATATGGCAAACTTTTCCTTGCCAAGGCATCTTTTCTAGATCACTACTAGAAGGCATTCCCAATCTGGAGATGTTCTGTCTCTGACTCTTACTCTGGATGGGGTAATACTCCTCCAGCCAAAGCTAATGCATATGGGTTTTTTTTTAGAGTAGAATAGAATTCTTTATTGGCTAAGTGGGATTAAACACACAAGGAATTTGTCTCCGGTGCATAAGCTCTCAATGTACATACAAGCAACAAATGATAAATCATGATCACAATCATAAAAATACATTCATCATAAATCATAAGACACAACACTTAATGATAGTCATAGGATACTAAATAAGCAAACAACATAAATCATACTAGGATACTAAATTAAACAATATAAACAACAACAACAATACAAACAACAAAGATATAGTCATAAAAAATATGGAGATAGATAATAGGAAAGATGAGACAAATAATTTTCTGAGTTGGCACAGGAAGAACATTCTTTGTTATGCTTTTTTGATGACATTTTTGATGTTAGGTGTCCATTTTAAGTCTTGAGATATTATAGAACCTAGAAACCTGAAGGTCTCAACTGTTGATACAGTGTTGTCTAGCATTGTAAGAGATGGTAGAATAGGAGGGTTCCTAAAATCTACTATCATTTCTACAGTTTTGAGTGTATTCAGTTCAAGATTGTTCCGGCTGCACCACAAGACTAGTTCAACTTCCTGTCTGTATGCAAATTTGTCGTTGTTTCGAATGAGACCAATCATTGTTGTATCATCTGCAAACTTCAGTACTTTAACCGAGGAATCCTTTGAGATGCAGTGGTTGGTGTAGAGAGACAAGAGAAGTGGAAAGAGAGCACACAGCCCTGGGGGGGGGGGCCTGTGCTAATTGTACAGGTATCGGATGTGATTTTGCCTAGCTTCACCTGTTGCTTCCTGTCTGTTAGAAATCTTATGATCCATTTACAAGTGAAGGATCAGGCACAACTAGCTGAATTAGTTTAGTTGAAAGAATTCTGGAATGCCAAGCTGAAGTCAAAAAAAGGACCTTTGCATAGGTCCTTGGAGATTCAAGATATGTAGGATGTAGTGCAGAGCCATATTAACAGTATCATCTGCCGATCTATTTGCTTGGTAGGCAAATTGCAAGGAGTCTAACAACGAATCCACATTGATGGAGGGTTTCTTCGGCACTGGGATGATAGTAGAGCATTTGAAGCAAGAAGGAACATAATACATCTCTAATGATTTATTAAAGATGCGGGTGAAGATGGGGGCCAGTTGGTCAGCACAAGTTTTCAAGCAAGAAGGGGTTATCTTATCTGGGCCTGGTATTTTTCCAGGCTTTTGTCTATGAAATAGACCTTGCACATCATTTTCTGTGATCACCAGAGGTTCGGGGCCCAAAGGGACGGGGTCAGTTGTAGGAGGCTTGGCTGTAGTTGGTGTACCTGAGATGGAGATGATGGATAGGTGACAGTGGTTTCCTCTCATACCTACAGTAAAACAGATTCATGTCATCTGCCAGTTGTTGATTCAATTTCAGCATGGAAAGGTTTGCTGTAACCAGCGATATTTTTAAGAGTCTTCCACATATTTGCTGGTTCATTTGTTGAAAGCTGATTCCTTAGCTTTTCAGAGTAGCTTCTTTTTGCTGCTCTGATCTCCCTTGTTAATACATTTCTGGCCTGATTGTACAGCTTTCTATCTCCTTTCCTTCAGGCTTCCTCTTTGGCACGACATAGCTGCTTGAGTTTAGCTGTGAACCAAGGCTTGTTGTTACTGTATATTTGCAGGTTTCTGATCGGCACACATAGGTCTTCACAAAAACTAACGTATGATGTTACAGTATCTGTGAGTTCATCCAAATCTGCAGAGGTATCTTTGAAAACATTCCAATTTATGCAGTCAAGGCAAGGCTGTAGTTTTACCTTGGCCTCCTCAGTCGAAGACTTCTCTGGTTTAATTGTTGGTTTTATAGCCTTTGTCTATAAACAGGTACAAGGCAAATCATACAATGATCAGAGTGTCCCACAGCTGCTCATGGTAAAAACCAATAAGCATCTTTTAATATTGCGTAGCAGTAGTCTAAAGTATTCTTGTCTCTAGTAAGAGAGTTGACATGCTGAAAGTATTTTGGTAGATCTTGGCTTAAGTTAGCACTGTTGAAATCTCCTAACACAATGAGGAGTGAATCTGGGTATTTTCCTTCTTTAATCTGGTCAACTAGAGGTTAATGCATTGTTTTTGCAAACTTGTGGAGGAAGGTATGCTGCAAATAGAAGGAATAAGGAAAACTCTCGTGGGGAATAAAACAGTTTGCAATTGATAATTAATGTCTCTAAGTCCACATCACAGAATTTCTTTAGTGTAATTACATTTTCGCGCCATTGGTTGTTGATATAAAAGCAGAGACCACCCCTCCCTTCTTTTTGCCAGATGTTTCTGCAATTCTGTCTGCCCTCTGTATCTGAAGCCCTGGGATATGCAAGCTGCTATCATCAATTGACTCATTTAGTCAAGTTTCAGTGAAGCAGAGGGCTGCTGAGTTGTAAACATCAGAGTTGCATCTGTTGTGTTCATTCCTGGATCAGGAAACTCTTCCATAGTTACTCACATTTTAATCACCTTCCATTTGGACTGTTGCAATTTGTTATTCTTGGAGCTTCCTTTGAAAAGCAGTCAAAGGGTGCAACTGATCCAGAATGCAGCAGAATATGTAGCTTTGGGCATATCACATGGCATACTAAGGTATCAGTGTTTCATGAGCTACATTGTTTTCAATTGCTTCCAAGGGCTGGTTATCGCCCATGTATGGCATAAGGTCAGGTTNTAGCAGTGACTTAATTAATGTTACTGAAAGAAATTATAGTGATGTCATTGTGGGACTTTTTTGTTTCTCTGGCTGATAATTGCAGTGGATCTTAATTCAGCAAGCCAAAATTTATATACACCGCTAATGTTTCTGAATTTACAGTATTTGATTAGACTTTTCTTGAAAATTCTCATTCAAATGTTTAAAAGTAGCTTACCACGATGGTAGGAGAATTTAAGCAGCAGTTGCATCTGTACAAATCTGTTCTACTTTATACTGGTCCCAATAACACTTCTGAGGGGCCATTCCCAGAATAAAACAGTTCATATCTTTCATATACTTACATTAGTTTAGCATCTGAAGCATTAATTTAATCTTCCAGATGTATTGGGATTCTTTCAGCTATGATCAATATTGCTATGGTGGCTGGGGATGATGAAAGTCATGTTTCGACACATCTCACTGTTAAGTAAACTTTAAACTGTTCCTTAAATACCGAATTAGGAAAATAATTAGGGAGTGATGCTGAATAAGTTTTATCTCTCTCAGATTTATTTATCCTATTTATCCTCCCTCCTGACTGGCTCAAGGTTGACTCAGCCTTCCCTCCTTCCAAGGTCGGTAAAATGATTGTTGGGGGCAATATGCTGACTCTGTAAACTGCTTAGAGAGGTCTGTAAAGTACTATGAAGGGGTATGTAAGTCTAAGTGTTATTGCTATTGCTATTTAATATTTGCATTTAAATTTCCTCTTTAACATTTATTTGCTGCTTGGAGAGTTCATCACCGAGGTGCCTTAAGAGTCTAGAACAGACATGTCAAACACAAGGCCCGGGGGCCGGATGCGGCCCGCGAAGTTTCATGTGGCCCGCAAAGCCATCCTGAAAACAGTGAGGGAATGGCCTCTGCTGCCTTGGCCCTGGCCCAGGCCCGGCCGGAAGCCAATGTACAATTTTGTGGTGGCCATCTATGCTGAAACGCATTCAGTCTTAGCTCCACAAAGCCGTCTAGAAACAGCGAGGAACCAGCCCCTGCTGCGCCGGCCCCACCCCCTGGGTGCATGCTGGGGAGGTGTCACCCTTTGTGAGGAATGCACCATGCCTTGGCGCTTGCCCCGGTCCCACCCCCTTCTGCCAGAGACCCTCAGATCTGTCCCACTCCTGCTCAGGCCCACACAGGCACCCTTGATGTGAACGATGTAGAGCTGGCCACGCCCACCCGGTCCCCCCGAGGGCAACCGCAATGCTGATGCGGCCCTCAATGAAATTGAGTTTGACACCCCTGGTCTAGAAGGAGCAGAAAAGGCTTAAACTGAGTCCTAGAAAGAAGGAATTACTGTTTTACCATTGGGTTTGCTGTCGGTTTTAGTGTTCTGTATTAATAGGATAGTACTATCGCTGAAAGAGCGTGTCCATGACTTGGGGGTTCTTCTAGGCTCTCAGATCTGCTAGAAAAGAAAGGGGAATGTTACAGCCATGGATGTTCCTAGCTTTGGCTGTTGTAGAAGTTGGACTGGGAAGATCTTCCTGCAGTGACTCACGTCATCATCAGCATGATGTTTAGACCATTGCAACAGATTCTATATGGGGTTGCCCTTGAAGATCACTTGGAAAGGGCAGGCTTCTAGGTGCAATTTTAAATATTGGTGTTAATCTAAAAGTCCTACATGGCTTGGCACATGGTTAATTGCAGAACTGCAGTCTTCATTTGGAATTGACCTAACCAGTGCAATCTACCCAGGAGAAACTACAAGTAGTGTTTCACTTCAGGGGTGAGAAGGGTGCTGCTTTTCAGTGGCAGGATTGGTCCTTTAATGAAGCCTCTTAATAGACTTCTGGTTGGTTCCCATGCTGCCTGCCTTCTGGAAGCTGTTCTAAATAGATATCTATGGAGATTCTCAATCATACAGCTCACCTGGACTTTCTTTGTTTTTTCCTTGAAAATGTTTTGGATCTCAGAGCTGAAGAAGGTTCTTGGATGAGAAGCAAAACATTTTCAAGGGAAAAAAACCAAATAAGGCCAGTTGCCTTTTGGAAAAGCACCTTTGTTTTAAACAGAGCTCTTCTGGAAGGTACTTATTCCAACTTGCTTTAGTTACCATTTATTTAATTTTATTTCATATTTTCATTGGTTTGTGGAACTTTCTTTTCTACTTATTGTTTATTGTATGTTGTTCCTTGTGTATGTTATGTAATAAGCTGCTCTGAATCCTCAGAATTTAGCACTTTATGAATATAATTGATTGATTAATCAGCAATAGGGCCAAGCTCCCTAATGTAGCACTATCAATTTTGCTTTGTAAAATGGAATTGTTTGCTAATATATTAAGTATATTATATATTTACTAGAAGCAATGATCATAGCCCTAGTTTTCTTTGTTTCTTTTTATCCCTAACACAAAACTTTTCAAGCAGATACGCAGCACATAACATAGAATCACATTGATTTAACTTCCAGAGCTAATGAGTTAGAAGTGTCAAATATATCTTTGCTTTGAAAGGTAGCAAGGACAAGAAGGACGCCATTTTTCAATAAAAAATTGGAAAAACAGAATATATTACATGCACAATTAGAGCCATATACAGGATTTCTGAGATTTAATCATGTGGATGGAATTTCTAGTCACTCCTTATTATAATAAATATTTCAGTTTTCATTGTTCTATTCTTATTTGTTACATTTGAAGTACTTCCATTTATTCTAGTTTTAATAATCCTTTTCTTTTTGTTTTTCTCATTTTAAGGGTGCTGGGAAGAAAACCTTAGCTAAAAAAATAGCCCAGTTTTGGAAGTGCACTCTTGTAGATGGTAAATATAAAAACTATATTCATTTTACTGTATTTCATTCTATGCATGTTTATATAATTTCTAACATTCCAGAGGCCCATTTTATAAAAAAAGGCTGCAATATTTTCATGAACTAACATATACATTCAGAAGGGTTTGATAATGTATATTCTTTTGTTGGAGAGATTTTAAATTTTTAGCAGATACCACTGGGAATATTACCATATTTCTACAAAAATGAGGTGCAGAAAAATGGGAAAATAGAATCTAATGCTTTGGAACTTGATTTCTGATTGTGAAATAAGATATTCTCTGCCCACCCCTCTTAAAAAAACCTGTTTTAAAGATATTGATAGTAAAGCTAACTCTTTTCTGCTCATTTACAGGTATTATCAATGGCAACGCGGACAATATCCATATTACACACAAAGTGTAATAGTGTAATATAGTTAGAGAATTACTTAAAACAAGAAAAAACTAGCCCACTCTATAAAGTTAATATTTGTACCATCAATATCTAAATTAAAAATCATTGTATTCTATGATTTCTGTGTGATTTAACTTGTATCCTACTTTTCATATTCCAATGTTGTCTCCCATTTCATTATGGTCATACAAATATAACAAATATAAGATACAAATATAATACCACCAGTTTCAATATACATTTTTGAAATTAATCCTAACAAAGTCAGTAATAGTGACTTTGATTAGAATAGGAAAGGAAAAAATATTGTAATGGCAATTGGTTTTTTTTGTTGTTGTTAGTTGCGCAGTCGTGTCCGACCCATCACGACCCCATGGACAACGTTCCTCCAGGCCTTCCTGTCCTCTACCATCTTCTGGAGTCCATTTAAGTTCACGCCTACTGCTTCAGTGACTCCATCCAGCCACCTCATTCTCTGTCGTTCCTTTCTTCTATTGCCCTCAATCTTTCCCAGTATTAGGCTCTTCTCCAGTGAGTCCTTCCTTCTCATTAGGTGGCCAAAGTATTTGAATTAATAAATTGTTTCTGCTAATCTCTGGACTATTTATATATCTTCATTGTATGAAGAATGAAAGAGTCTGCTCAGAGGTTAAAAAAAAAGTCCAGATGGTAGGCATGGCCATGCTATTGAAGCCTCACCCCTCTGTATATTTGTGCAATGTAAGGATTCCTTTAGTCTTATGAAGGATGCCCCTTTAAATCTTATAGAAAATTTATCTTTAGCTGCGTCAATTTCAGTAATAATCTGCAGATTTTCTTCAAGGTATTTTACCAACAATTTATGACTAAAACATGCTTGAGTCCAGCCTTTTCCATTCCACTTAAACTGCTCTTGCCATGATTAATTTGTTGGATGAAAAATCTTCATCAGGGTCCAGTCCAAGCCAGAGATAAACAAAATGGAGACTGCTTTAGAAAGAAGTTTATTGAAGAGGAATGCCAGACAGAAAGATGGCTCTGGGAAAGCTGACCATATGTAGCTGGGAGTAGTGGGTTTTTATACCTTCTTGGGCTTTTGAGGTTGTTTCCTGTTGCTGTGTCCTGATATTCTGAGAATGTCTTTTTGGTATTCTGATGGTGGTGGGTTAATCCTATAATGTCCCAAAGGTCATGTCTTTTAGAGTTTGGGTGGGGTATGAAGATTTTAGAGGTCTTTGTCTTTCTAATCTCATCAGCTTCTAGCTTCCTGGCTCCAACCTTTCTGAATAGGATTATCAGATCTACATTTCTACAGAGCTAGTTTCTGCTTCGGGCAGAGAGACTTGGGGGTCTCTATTAATTTCAAGTTTTACAGTCATAAGTACTTAATAAACAACTTGATGTCTGAGTTCCTTTATCATTCAGTGGTACATATTAACTTTCATTCAAAATATTCAATACTACACCATCCAGTATTTCCCTGGTCCTCTCTTCTTCCAATAATAATAATTTTCCACACTATCCAAGTATAATTCATACTGCTATTAATACCTATACAATTAAATATAAACATCTTCATCACATGGTTCTAATGTTATACATAGTGTCAATAATATCAGTTTGTACTGTCTTCTCTGGCCAAAACATATCTCAAATGTATTTGCAATCAAAGTTCCCTTATTCAATCCGTATCCTGTTTTTTTCTTTTTTCAATTTTAATTTCCCATTCTTTTATTTCCAACAGCTGTCTATTCTTTTAATCATATTCAAGCATCCATTAGATGGTATAATACCTCATCTAATTAGTTAGGATCTCTATTTTCTTCAGTCTTACTCTAGCTTTCTTCCTTTGCCAACTAACTTTGAAAGTCAGTGCATTTAGGTCACCAAGTATTTCTTCCTCTGTTTCTGTATATATAATTTGGAATACAAAAGACAATTTAATTAAAGTGTTTTTGTAAAAATGCTTAATCCATTTATATTCGTTAAACAGCCTCCTTTTTCTTTCTCCTTCAATCTCTCTTTTAGTTTCTTGTTCCCCAGTTTTCAGCATTTCTCCTAACAGCTGTGTCATCCATTCTATCAATAATTCTTCCTTGTCCTCAAGTATGTTCTGCAGTCTTGAAAAGTAAGTTGAAAGTAATTTCCGGTATTATATCTGGGTCTTCCAAACTTTTATTTATCTGTGCCTGTCTGATGGTTTCTTCTTTTGAATCCTCTATCTTTATATCAGTTTCCTCTATTTTTTCTTTTGGTTTCTGAGTTGCTAGCTCATTCTTTATGGTCATTTTCTGAACATTTTTTGCTTGTAGGTTTAAGTTGGAGAGTTGCTCATTTATGTTATTTAAATTATTTTTGGTCTCCTCATGATTTAAAACAATTGTCTCTTCAATTGATTTCAACATGGGGAAAAATTCTTTCTGAAGTCCATTTACATTTTCTTTTTGATTATCCATGTTTCTTCCAGAGAGAAATAGTCCAGAAGCAACTTTCCCACTATTTCTTAATAATTCTTGAAACTAATAGTCAGTCAATATTTGTAATCCAAGCCAATTCAGAATGGTTTATTGTCTCTTTCATACAGATAAAACAGCCAAAGGATTTTTCCCCCTTTTCCTAGCTGCAGTCTGCAAAAGTGAAAGTTTCCAGGAACAACAAAGAGCCTTAATAAGTCCATGCTTCGTGCCAATTTTTTTTTAAGCATAATAAATTGTAATGCCAAGGTTCACTACTAGATGTCGCTAACATCCATCTTCCAGCTTTTAAGTCCAAACTTATTTCACCAATTTTCCAAATATCTTTTCAAAAAGAAAGTCTTAAAAATACTTTTAGTCTCCAAATTTGCCAGAGCTATGTCTCTATATTAAATCCAAATTAATCTTGTAGTTTTCTCTAATTTCCCCCACACATAAAGTTATTCACCGCTTCTCTTTTCCTGAGAGAACGGGGCAGAAAATCCCCTTGTCTCTATCATCTGGGGGATGATAGAGAATTCTTTTTTCCAGGAAGAAGTTTTAAAATTATAAAGAGAAGTTACGTTCTCACCTAGTTCCATCCGCATTGTTCAGGAGTTGCTAGTTAGTGCCTTTCTTGGGTTGTCAGTGGCTTCTGGCTGGTCGCATAAATGCGGCCAGTCTTTCTTCTGCTGGTTTGAAGGGCTTCCTCAGATCAAACAGAGGGGCCACTGCTCCTCCACGATTGACGAGGGTCCTGTTCTTCTTCGTTGCCTCTCCAGGGCGACTGTAGACCCCTTTTAGGGTCCCCAGAAGAGCAAAATCGGACGTGGAAAATGGAGCCCCGTTTTCCTGTGCCCATTACGCCACAACATCTAACCCGGAAGTCTCCAGTTTCTGCCTAAGATTTTCTATTATTTCTTTAGAGAAATATATTCTACTTTTTTAAATATTCCCCAAAATATTTCTTTCTCGGGGGGGTTGTTGTCATCCTACAAATTCACATAGGGAGTATGGAATAACTGAAGTGATTAGAGGGAAATATATATTCTCCATCAGGTACAACTTTTAGAAATGTATTTTTGGTTTTTAAATTAAGTTCTCCCTCAGGGATATTCTTGCCCACAGAGAGACTACCTTTGGGAGCAGTAGTTCTTACAATAAATTTGCAAGAGTCAATAAAGAATATAGCACAGCAAGCTAGTGATTGGATTCTGGCTCATTTCTTTAGGATTAATTTGGCATCAGCAGGTTTCTGAATAAAAACCTAAAACTATGAGGCAGTATGTACCTGATTTACCAGTTTGTTCCTAGAAGCCTCATTTCTTTGAAGTACTATCATTAGTACATAATAACAGTGATTTCCCAAGAATCCTGCTGCAAGGCTAAAATGTCTGAATTTTTAAAATTGCAATATAATTTTATTGAAGTTCTGAAACAGAATTTATTTATATTTGCCTGCTCTTGTTAACTGCTACTTTAAAATCAGAGTAGGCAACAATTAGAACAACGTGGGAGCCCTCTGGTGGCTACAAGTGTCTTTTATTTTGTGAAAATCATACTCAATTGCTAGATTATGAAGCACACAGAACCATAATTAGACTTTTCTATTTAAATGGGAGTTTTAACGACAGTGATAATTATCAGTCCATGATGGGTACTCTGGAGATCCAGAATTGGCTTTAGAGAAAAGGATATTGATTCCTTCTTCTCCAAAGCTGTAATAATTGACGAATAAAGAAATGAAAATATTTAATATTGTTTTAGAATACTTCAGTAATATTTGGACTCTGGTCAAATTATAATAGGAAGATACAATACAGCTATTGTACAGGTAGTTATCAAGTTACAACAGTTCATTTAATGACCATTTGAAGTTACAATGGCACTGAAAAAAACAGACGTGACTTTTTTCACACTTAAGACTGTTGCAGCATCCCTCTGGTGACATGATAAAAATTCAGATGTTTGGCAACTGACTCATATTTATGACAGTTGCAATGTCCCAAGGTCATGTGATTCCCTGTTACAACCTTCTGAGAAGCAAAGTCAATGGGGAAGCAAGATTTGCTTAACAGCCGTGTTACTAACTTAACAACTGCAGTGATTCACTTAACTGTGGCAAGAAAGGTCATAAAATGGGGCAAAATGTCTTGCTTAGTAAGAGAAATTTGGGGCTCAATTGTGGCCATACTTCCAGGACTACCCGTACTATACATACAGTTGTGGTGGAGTCATTATAAAGAACAATAGTAGTGTTTTAGTCATTTGGGAGCCCATTTTGATTCTTGGCCAATTAATGTGCATTTAAAGCAGATCTCCAAACTTTACTTAATAGGAACCAAAAAGGTTAGCATGTAAAAGAAGAAACCAGATGAAAGGCCCTGAGTAACATTGGCTATCCTTTCCCTTCTAACTTCCCTCCATTGGATATCATGTATCATCAATGTATGAAAGGAGAGTAACATTACTCTCCTCACCTCTTGATCATTATATATTTGCAGAATTTATTATCTCTTTGTAGGGAGAGAAACACATCACTGCAGGTGGATGATTATGAAAAAGGAATGCATGATCTTCAATATTAAAAAAAACCCTGTTTTGCATTATACAGTACTGCATATATACATGCACATAGCACCATCAAACCAATGTTTTATTTTGTTTCTATGTGATATATCCTTTTAGCTTTTGAACTCATAAATGAAAACATAACAGCTGAAACAGAATATGGACTGAAGGTAAAGCCTGGACTTATTTATAATTCTTTCAAAGGGCACTATTAGTTAAAGTAAACCAGTTCAGCTAACAACTTTGAATTATTGCAATTTGTTTGGATTTGAACTATGGGCAATGAACCAAGCTCAGTGGCAGGCCATGTGTTTTGTACACATTCATTTTTTGGCATCTCCAGTGTAAAAAAATGCAGCAGATAATATACAGTAAAGACTGTAAAAAGAATTTATCTGGTGTCCTTGAGGAGGTGCTATAAAAAAAAAATAGAAAGGAGAAAAGGAGAGGAGGGGGGGGGCAAAGATTTGTGGGAATTGTAGTCCAAAATATAAAAGAAGCAATATTGAGAACATCTGGATAACTTTTTTTTGATATAGTATAAAGCAGCTTTGTGTATTATTTATATATCCCCTATTATTTATTCTCAATACAATTCAATATTTTACATTGTTCTCCCTAAGTGTAAGGACCTGCTTTACCAAGGTCAAAATGTTCCTGAAGAGTTGGTGATAAAGATGCTTATGATCAAGCTGGAATCTCCAGAGATTAATCACTTTGGTATGAATTACTGCATCTTTTTTCCCCACTATCTATTAAGCAAGCTCCTCATAATCCTAGAAATATATACCTGTGATTTATTTATTTGTCTGTCTGTTTTGTGGATTGTATGGGATTTAGAAAGCCAGTTTAGTGTAGAGGCTAAGACATTAGGCTAGAAACCAGGAGACTGTGAGTTCTGATCCTGGCTTGGACACAAAGTCATCTGGATGCCCTTGGGTCAGTTATTTTCTATCAGCCCCAGGAAGGAGGCAGTTGCTAGCCATTTCTTGAAAAACCTTGCCAAGACAACTTCAGGGATTTATCCAGGCAGTCTCCAAGAATTGGACAAATTTTAACAGAAGAAATAAAAAGAACCAGTATCATGTAATGGTTTAAGGCATCAGGCTAGAATCCAGGAGACCTTAAGTTCTAGTCCCACCTTAGGCATAAAGCCAGCTGGGTGACTTTGGGCCAGTCACTTTCTCTCAACTTTAGCAAGGAGGAAACTGCAAACCACTTCTGAAAAACTTTTCCAAGTAAATAGCAGGAACTTGTCCAGGCAGTCGCTGAGAATTCCAAATGATTGAACAGGGGGAAAGGGGGGAGGGATTTAGAGGCTGCCCAATTCCCAGGCAACTCTTGGCGGCTCTGTAAGGCAGTGGGGTTGTATTTTTGTATTAGCTATTTGCTAACTTTGAGCCTAAGTATTACACAAAAGAAAACACCCTGATAAAAATGAGTGCCAGGAGATTAGAGGAGAAAGTGGACGTTTTTAAAGTTGTAGAAGAAAAGTGTAGGATCTCTGGTTTACAGGAGACCGCTGCTCTTTCAGAATTGGGCACCTCTCCAGACCTCTCCTCTTCCTTTAGGAAGGAAAATAAGAAGAAGTGTAGTAAAGCATATATGGAGATCAGAGGAGAGAGTGTGGATTCATTCCGGTGTGCTGCAGCTGCCAAAAAAACCAACACAGTTCTAGGCTGCATTAACAGAGGGATAGAATCAAGATCACATGAAATGTTAATACGTGCCTTGGTAAGACCACATTTGGAATACTGCATCCAGTTTTGGTCACCATGATATAAAAAAAAGATGCTGAGATTCTAGTAAGAGAGCAGAGAAGAGCAACAAAGATGATTAGGGGACTGGAGGCTAAAGCATATAAAGAATGGTTGCTGGAATTGGGTATGTCTAGTTTAATGAAAAGAAGGACTAGGGGTGACATGATAGCAGTGTTCTAACATCTCAGGGGTTGCCACAAAGAAAAGGGAGTCAAGCTATTCTCCAAAGCACCTGAAGGCAGGACAAGAAGCCATGGATGGAAACTAATCAAAGAGAGGTCCCTTCCAACTCTGTTATTCTATTCTATTCTATTCCTATTTCAAGGGGCTGGTAGGTGCAGGCTGATTCTACTGCCCCAGCTTGCCAGATGGACTTCCAATAGCTTAGGCATTGAAATACATGAGATTTGACACACCTTGAAATTGCTACTGGTTGGACTAGAAGACTCCAAGGTCCCTTCCAACTCTCTTATTCTGATCTAAGAGGAAAATACTGTTTTCATACTGGTAAAGACAACTTAAAGCTGTTTGTGGGTTGAAGAAAAAATGAGGACACAGCAGTATAAAATGTTTCCAAGGATTGGTTGTACTGTGGTTAGATACAAACGAGGAAAGACCCATAGTCATCCCATATTTACTGTAAAATAGATGTGTGATTTTTTTAAAGTATAAAAATATTTGTATTTCCCCCCGTTGCAGGTTATGTTCTCTGTGATTTCCCTTCTCTTTCTGAGGATTTCATGTCTACACCAGAACAAATCGACGTAATTAAAAATTTAAAATTAAAACCAGATTTCCTGATTAATATTAAGGTAATCAGCATTTGAATGTTCTTAGTAAATCTTGTATTTATTTTATAACTGCGCTTCATACCCTTACAAATTGTACTTCATAAAGCCATCCTTGTCTCCTTTAAACCCATTGTCATAAAGGTAGAAGTTGCCAACTGCCTTTTATTAGTTTTAAAAGAAACTCTACCAGCACATTAGCAACAAAAGCTTTTGTTCTAAACTCTTAGAAAGAAGAGTTACAAAGTTATCTTATTGGATTTGAAACAACTTCCATCTCATAATGATCTGTTTTAACTAGTGTCCTAACAATGACTTGTGCCAAAGAATCACTGGTCAAAGACAGCAGCCTGACACAGGACATATATTCAAAAGAGAAGATTGGGATCCTGATATTATTGAAAAGCGTAAGAAAAAGAAGAAAGAATTACGTAAAAGTGAAGAAGAGGATGAGGAAGCAGAAGAGGAAGAAGAGGAAGAAGAGTCAAATGAGGTAGCTTTCCCATATTTTCTAAAAAGGCAATTATTTGTTCCAAATAAAAGAAAAGCTTGGATCATTCAGAAACACGTGGTTTAATATTTGTTAAACAATGCAACATTATTCTTTAATAAAGTGAATCAAATTAGGTTATATTATAACAGTTATATATAAAACCTTAATTCTACATGCTGAATTTTTTGAAAAAAAATCCATTGTCATCTGTAATCATATTAAAACTACATAATTAACTAACAGTACTACTAATCCTTTATATCTGTTAATTTAGTAAAACAATTTGTAATCCTTTCTTTGAAGGCCCAGACCAGTGTTGACCTAAGGCTTTTGGCTGGCCTGCTGAAGCAAAGAACTGGCTGGTGTCTCCTCCCATTCCAAGTTAAAATTGCCTGGATTAGCAGAATGCAATTTTAGCATTGGGAACAGCATCCTTCAAAAGTAGCAACCTTGTTTGGATGATGCAGGGCAGGTTTTATGACACATCTCTGTCTTATCCATCTATTTATCTAACTATCCATCGATCCATCCATCTGTCTGTCTCAGAATTCTATAACAGGACTCCAGCAGGAAAAATATTTTTTAAAAAAACAAAATCACTTCAATGTTAATAAGTGGAATTGCATATTTGTTCAGGAATAAAGTTTTATTAAAGGTTCATTTCAGTCCATAGCTAAGCCAGCCACAATTTCATTTTAGACCGTTAAAAATGGTTTTCATCTAATTAATTTTGTTTGGCTGTGCACACAAATTAATGTTTATCATTGTTGATTTTATACTTTCAGAGTGGGAGGTAGAACCAAGCTTTCTGTATATATTCACTTTATTAAAAAAAGAAAAATTTCCTTCCCCGTAGGCTGATCAAATTATGTTGACAGAAATTTTGCCAACTTTAGTACAAAGGCCGGAAGATTTTATGGAAAATGCACAAAAGAGAATTGATCTCTATAAAGATATTATGCTGCGTCCTCTAGAGGTAAGATAAGGATAATACCTTTTGCACTTCTTAGCCATAACACCTAGAAGTAAGAAAAGAAGGAAAGAAAAAATACCAGATATCAATGTTGTAACTTTATTGTTGCTGGTAAGCTTAGATATCTCGTGAATCCAGAAGCTGCTATATTATATTGATAGCACAAATGCTCATCTTTAGCACAATGTACTAAACGTATTATGATCCATGAACTTTTAAGACCTAGTTTACATATTATAGCAAGACATGGTTTGATTAATA